TTGTTTGTTTGTTCTTTAACAATTACAAACTTTTCATTGATACATGAAAAGGAAGAAAAAAGTAAAAAGATTCAAACTCCTAAAGGGGAAGAAAGGGAAAGCATAATTCCCGAGGAATAAACAAAAAGAAACAGCTCACAAGAACCTGAAAAGAGACCAAACAAACCAAACAAAGTAAAGAAATTAAAGAACAGCCAACTAAAAACGGTAAATGTACCAAAAACTCTTTGAGAGCTTTCAAACAAAAGCTGAAACGTTAATGGGAACTCCTCAACCCACTGAAGCTTCAAACAGAAACCTCCAAAACCAGCTTGAAACATCACGCCAGAAAAAAGGAAGAAAAAGCAGCAACTGCCCAGGAGAAAAGCACGAACACCACAAGGCCAATGAAGAAAACAACCAACCAAAAGCCATATCAACGCCAAACTAAACTCTCAATAAAACCACAAGAAGCAGCAACTTCACCCAATAACTAAAAACTGACGAGCAAAACAAACAATGACAACCACTTCAGCCCAGCCAAAGACAAATGCCTCCAAGGAGAAAAAAACAAAACCAATGGTTGAAAACCCAACCGCTAGAAATGATCTCATATATTTCACTGTCACCTTCCTTTAGTTAGGAAGACAATTTTTCCTTTTGTTTGATGAGAGGGGGAGAAAAGATACCTTGTCATGCCCTTTAACAATTGGAAAATTGAACTCTAAATCATCACTACCGAGGGTTATCACAGAATCCTTATCTGATTCCTCATCTCCGTCCGAAAATCTGACTTTGTGATGACCCCATTTGTTGAGTTAATAAAACCCTTAGATGTCATTAACAAGGGATGTTGAAGAGTAAAAGTTTGGTTTGGATACTAAAGGCTCCTTATTTGAAAAGAATCCAAGAAAACCCGTTAAATGGGTGCATCTCTCTTAAACTAAATCATGATTTTGGGCTCTGACTAACACTGAATATGGAAAAGTATAAGCCTTTTTATTTATTTATTATTTTGTATGCATTGAACTTTGTTCACATATTTGTCGATACAAATTATTAAATATTTTCATAACATTACTATGAAAAACTAATATATAACAAAAGATCAATTCTCTCTGTTTTTGACATGTAGTACCGTGTTTTCTGTATATTAAAAATAAAAATAAGAGAGGGGCACTTTTTCCATGGGAAACCCAACAAGTTGTAGGGGATTCTTGTGGAAATTGAGCAAGGGACGGGGGTTAACTCCTTGTTCAGCCCTACCCTAATGCTAATCCCATGTATGAATCTCTAAGAGCTGTTTGTTTATAAGTTAGAAGTCATTGTGTATAAACCTTGGGTATTGGAAGTCATAATTTTCTTAGGGGATTCTTGTGGAAATCGAGCAAGGGACGGGGGTTAACTCCTTGTTCATGCCCTACCCTAATGCTAATCCCATGGATGAATCTCCAAGAGCTGTTTGTTTATAAGTTAAAAGTCATTGTGTATAAACCTTGTGCATTGGAAGTCATAATTTTCTTATGGGTTCCAAATGAATGGAGGAAACTTTCATTTGGGGGTTCTGATTTTCTAGTTTTTACTTTTGCCAAAGCCCTGGTTATCTGGTTCTGCATTTTCTTGATTGGTCTGTGTCTTTCAAAAAAATTTCTCTAATATGCTAGCATCTTATGTTCATACTAGGATATTATTAGAATAGTTGTGTAGATAGAAATTGATTGCTCATTTAGAAGTGAGGTAACGAAGTTTAACTGTGTCATAGCCCAGGAACCTTTCCTATGCACCCATCAATAATTAGAGGCAATGAAGTTTTTGAAAGAGAAGTTCTGTCTTAACTTTTTGGCGCTGGCAAAGAGTTTATATCAATCATGTCTTTCTGACTTGGGTTTTTTCACCTCATTTTATGACTAATTAAGCTGCAGTGCATGAACAAAGGAATAATTCAGTTGGAGGGATTGATTCTACTGTTGCAGAGTCTTGTTTTGATCGGATGCCGTTAACATACAGACTTAAGGAGAACTCTGAGCCACTCGGTTTAAGTGTCCAGCGAATTTCCCCCGAAGGTGAATCCTCCCAGGGGCTGATCTCACCTTTTAAGGATGCTGCATTGCAGATAGAAAATGGGTTTGAGATAACTCCGAGCGTTGAACTCCAATTTATACCAAGGTTAGCCAGCAGCTCTCATCTGCATCAGAAGAACGAAGAAAGGCAAGAGTTGAAAAATCTGTCCACCCTGAGGAATGGCTATGACGGTGAGGTATCAGTTTCGCTGCGGTTGGGTGAGCCAGAAGCAAAGAGAAGGAAGCACTTGGATTCTCTTTCAAGTATCAAAGAGTCATCACCATGAGTGCGGGAATAAGAAGATAGATTCAATTTGGTACTGAAAACTGAAATAAGTTTTAAATGGTTATATCTCCGTTACTGGGTTCAGATCATTTTGCCGCCTATTTAGATCTATAAATTGGGACTGCCACATTACAAAGGTTGAAGCCTCAAGGTGGGAGTGCCATTCTTTTAAATGTCCTGTGCAGTGAAAGCCTTGAGGTTAGTTTTCAGTTCATACAACATATTATGGGTGAAAGGTATCTATGCCGGTCTTCACATCTAATTTTCTATTTTCCTGAACCAACTAGAGACGGGTGAAGACCTTGTTCCATAACTACTTTCGAGAAGGAAAAAAAAGTAAAAAAAAAAATATATATATATATATATATATAGAGAGAGAGAGAGAGAGAGAGAGAGAGAGAGAGATAAAGTTATCAGAAGCTAAAAATGAAAATGTTACAATATATTTGGAACCCAATAAAAGAGCCCCCCTTTTCGGCCAGGTTAATGTTGCTTCGTCTTCTGAATTGTTTGTTTAAAGCCATCCTTCATTACCGTATTGGTTCTTTCATTTGTGGTGTGGTTTGTTGATGTTGATTTCAAATGCATGTTCATTAGAGGTAGAAACATCATGTGGTTACAGCTAAAGCACGATTAAGTTAGCTGCTATCATGTTGATGTGATCACGTTAGTGGGAGCTGGTAGTTCACAATATAATGCTGAACTGATATTTGAAAATTTGATATGAAAGTTGTATTGGATGACCATTATGTATGGAGAAGAGAAACATGCACAGATGATGAAACATTGGAGTGTATTATATTTGTTTCTCCTACCTATAGAACAAAAAAGCGCAGTAATTATGCATAATTATTCACTCCAAAAATAGATTAGAAATGAAATGGCATTTGCATCCCCACCAGCTACGGGTTCATACCAACCTTAATCAAATGAAAGCCTACTCAACTCTCCTATTTTCATTACGTAACAAAAGCATGTGAGTAGGCAGTAGTAATCAAAGCCTAATCGTTGATCATCTTCATTTTCTTTAAAAAAAAAAAAGAAAAGAAAAGAAAAGAAGAAAGAAAGAAAGAAAAAGTTGTCTGTTGTCTATTATTTGCTGTCCTTTTCTTTTTCTGACCAAAAGTCGACATAGAATTGTTAAGACAGAAAAACCTTCTCTTAATCTCGAAGGCTAAACCAGATAGATCGTAGCGATGGACTACAGTTTCCAAACACGCACCAACCTGATCCTACCTGGCTGGCCTTTTTTTTAAGTGGAACATTTCATCGATACCTATTGTTCTTCTGCATTACTTGGTTGTGCATTCACATGGATCACCACCACATAATTGCAGCTATGGCCAAACATCTACTTAATATTGTATTTTTATATCAGCAATTAAACATTATGATGATAATGGGATTGGACAGAACGCTTATGGGTCAGCTGAAATATAGCTGTAAACCCCAACAGAAAGCCGCATTATATAAACTTCTCTCCAACCTCTGTGCCAAATGCCTGTTGAGGGGATAGTTGACTCAATATGACTCGAGAGTTCATGCTCATATAGCCCTGTTTGTCTTTCCTTTGTCTTCAAATCTAAGCTTTGTTAACTTTGGATCTGTAATAATTCGTTTAGCTCTCTCTCTGTCTGTGCTGGTCTTTCAACATGTGTTGGGTTGAGAGGTTGAAGCTGCCAGTATGATCTGGGGAAGGGTAAAATATTTTGTTAGCGATGATGATTCGGTGGCCGCCTTAAAGGTTGGTTTCTTCCATCAGGTCATCTTGCAGCTTCAATCACTAAATCACCAACAACACTAAGGATATTGCGTTTGCTCCCCACTCAGTCCAGAAAACGCCCATTTCAGATAAGTCGATCTTCTTCATAACGTTCTTTAAGTTCGCTTATGATGGTTTTCCTTTATTGTCTTAATTATTTAGTAAAGACACTGCCATTTGAATCACTTCAGCCTCTGATCAAGCTCATTGGTAATCTTCGGTCAGTCTGTGGTTTGTGTTTCTGTTCCTTCATGTTCTATGTGTTTTTGATGAATTCAATTGGACATACACAATAAGCAGGAGGAAAGTTCTCGATAAACCCACTTCATGTTATGTTCATGCAATGTTTCTCATCATTTAGTCTATCTTCAACCAACTTCTATAGAAATAAATCCTTCAAATTTAATCTTCAAAAGAGGATGGATGTTGAATGAGAACAATTCAAAAGTACATCAATATACTTTTAATTAGTTACAAGGCATCGATATACATAAATATTTTCGCGCTTACAGAATAATATTAACAAATAATTAGCTACACGCATTCTTAGTTTACCATAATATATAATTCGGTAGATCTCCTCCTCTTCAGCATCATCTCCATTTCTATGCAAACAACAATGAAACAAAATTTTGGAAGGTTTCGAGTTCTAGAAGCTTACCTTTCAAGATGACTTGAAAAGAGTGTGGGCAGGCTAGGAGGGAGGAAAACAAAAGGTCAGTTACAGAAGAAACGGTTCCACAGAAAGAATAGCAAAAGGAAAAAAGTGTTGAGTCGGTTGAATAATTTATGCGTTTTCAGTTGACATGTGATTGAAATGCAAATTTTTTCATGGTTGGCACGCAGGTGGTAGGGATGAAATTAGAGCATTTGAGATAAATTAAGATTACATGAAGGAAGGAGGATTATGGAACGCGTAATAGAAGAACATAACCAATGCTGGAGTTTAAATGAGATTGCGTGGATTATTGAGATTGTAATACATAAGTGTAGTGGTGAGAGAGCGGAGAAAAAGAAAAGATGGGCCACACAGAGAAAGATGTGATGGGAGGGAGGTGGATCAAAGTTGGGTAACAAAAGCATGATGAATGCGCAAGCCATTCTTCCATTTGCCATTCCAGATTTCATAAAGACCAAACTGCAGGGTGGTGTCTCTGGCTGAGACTGGAATTTCGATCACGTCATCCATGGAAAGGTTGTCCTTGTGTTCGAGAGACAGCTTCCTCCAAGTGTAGTCATCTGAGAATCCAACCGTAGTCATCATGAACACTGGACTGCCCTCCCATCCTTTCGCATCACGGTCTAAGCTGATATTGAACCCAACCTTATATTTTCTCCCTGCTTTTGCTCCCCTGTATGTCGCTTTTACTTCAAACCACATCACTTTCTTTGCTAATGCATATCTGTCTACCACAACCATTCAATTAATTCATTCTCTCTACCCAAATAATCTAATATTCATTCTAATTCTAATTAATATTGCTGCTTACCCTTGTTCTCCTTTTTCTCCGTGCTTAATCTCCCACTGATTCTCATCAGAGCCCCATACTATATTTAGGTCGCGTGGTAATATTTTACATTCATTTTGTTCACCTTTCATCTGCCATCATAACATTTCATATCATATCATACCATATCATATATTTTATATGGATACATGAAGCAAAAACATTAGAATTTCAGACAAAAATGAAAAAAATAAACAAAACCTACTTTTGCGAACGCCTTTGTCCTCGTAGATGGATACATGTTTTGTTTCTTTCTCCTGCGTACCGATGTGCAACTCTTAGTTTCTCATACGCAGCAGCTCCTTCCACATATATACGTGGTTCAAAAGGAATATAACGTTAAAGTTTTAACCAAATCTCTTTCTTCCCAACACAACTCAAGCGCATCACGCGACCCCAAATCTCAAACTTATTCCCATTTTCATGTTCATACAGAATAAATATCTCACTTTCGCTTCAGAAATTTAATCTTTAAAATCTTGAATACGCCTTGAAAATAATGTTTGTGTTAAGTTTGGTAAAAAGAATATTAAGGTGTGGTATCAAAGCGAAAGGAACTTTTAAGACAAAAGAAAGGAAAAGAATAATAAAAAGGAAAAAGATGAGTATTCTTTGAGGCGTAGCAGAGAATTGTTGAAGGATGGAACATAAATTAGAAAGTTCTGTTAGCGGCGAATATTACAAATTGTGCGTAAACAATACTACATATTCTGAAGGAATCAAATTCTGTATGGACGGTTGGCGCTAAAAAGCTTCTACATGAATTAGGTAATAGAATAGAATAAAGAAGAAATTTGGATGGATGGCAAATTCCTGAGTTGCCACTCCAAGATATGCGTCTTCTTTACTTAATCAACATACCATACAACAGATGAGATGCTTTACCCCTACGTTTCTGTGGCTTTCCATCTATCTTATCTATCTATTTCAATCTTGACACAATTTTAGACATCCAAATGCTTAGCTTAAAGAAAAAACAGCCTCCGGTAAAAATAAGTGCCTAATCATTTTTCCACCTCATCATCTAAGCCAGTAAAGTAAAAATGAGACTGAATTCAACAACATGATTCTGACCATCTTCCATGTCTTTGACATTGCATGTCGTTATAGTTTCATCTTTGACATTGGAGTCTTTTCTAAAATAGTAGTCACATGAGCCAGGAAGAACTGCCCCAATGACTGCTTTAATACAGGAATTTTGGTCGGTCAGTGAGTACCACCTTTGGAGCTCGTTCTCCCATTGCTAAATTCCATGTTTGTATTAACCACAGAAATGTATGAACTCTCTCATCTGCAATCACTGCACAACCAAGTACAGTAGGTTGAATATGATGGTGAACAAAACTGTCCCATCTAAATGGAGGGAGGGAGGTCTTTTACTTTTAGGTTAAAACATATTTAATCTCTCAACTTTGTTGTTTATTGGGTCATAATTAATAAATAATATGTATGTTAATCCATATTATTAATCAAACTATTTATATTTTGACCATCTTAGTTTTACCTCTAATATATTAAATAGTAAGCCATTTAAATGTTTATAAATTAAATTCATTCCTTCCTGCAAAAAAATATTAAATTCATTTAAATGCTAAAAGAAATTAAGATGTATAAAAATACATTTATAAAATTAAAATGGAAAGAAAACACAAATTACAACCCAAAACAGTATTTTTTTTTTTTTTTAAACTTGTTTTTCCTTTATGAAAAGGAAGCCACTAGAAAAAGGGATCATCTATTATGAAAAGGAAGCCACTTACAAAAAAAAAAAAAAACATAAATAATCTCATCAAACTAAAATCATATTCAAACACATCCATGAATTAACATGTTGAATGAAGTGAAACCCAAATTATGCATTATTCATCATGTTTCGTACAAATCTACGATTATAAACCCTCTGCTTACTCCTAGCTTCTGGACTTCATAAACGCATTCAGTTTCGAGTTTTATTAATCTACCATTCACATCCTCGGCAACTGTATTTGTACAAGAAAGATAGACACGATCTGAAGAAAATTTTTCCAACTGTAAATTAAGTGGACAAGCCAAGCTACCAGTACCATCATTATGATTAGAAAGAGCCGAATTCACAATCTAACTTTGTGTCGCTTATGCTTCATCCTGCCCTCCCTCTCTGCACTTGCTTTGTTCTTGTTGGATAGATTTACTCCACTCCTTTTTCTCAGTTCTGAAACCACAGCCAGCCAACCAGCCCAACCAAATACTCATTTCGTTCCGGAAAAGTACAAATTTTCATTACTATTACTTTCTTACCTCCTTACACTGTGCCTTGTCTCAGCGGTTCAGATTCAATGTGGGCTTCAACCTTGTTCTGGCTGTCTAGCGGCATGTATTGCGACATGATAGACATGATCTCCGAATCCATGTAAGACTGTCAAAAGTAATGCGTCGGATAAGGTTTAGCTATCTTAGGACACAATAAATTCCTTTAAATGGTAGGTAATAGGTAATAACCCAAGACAATGCACAAAGTGGTCAGTGTTATACCCGCAGCCTATATTTGTAGAACATGTAACCGGCTAATCCCCCTCCAACGACAACTGCCAGAACCAGAAATACGAGGAACAATCCAACTTTCGAACCACTTTTTTCTGAATAAGTAACAACAATGTGAAATGAATTGTCAACAACAGAGATCACGTTCAAGGGTTATTCATTCCTATATCTTGATTCCATCATTTTCGGTTAGGATGGATATATAAGACGGTAGGTGCATGCTTACCGATACAAATATCTTGGTCCTTCATGTATACTTGGTTACCGCTACACTTGCAGTCGTATCCACCCCAATTGTTCTTGCAGCTACAACCATCACACTGACAAGCAAGACGCTCCTTACATTCATCAACATCTGCTTTTTGCATTGCATGGTCCATAAAAAAAAAAATAATAATAATAATAAACTAAAAATTAAAAATTTAAAAAATAAAAAGTAAAAAAAAAAAAGCCTTCTAAACGCTCACTCTAAACCACTCTCGAATTCATTAAGAAACTTTGCAGTTAGTGGTTTTAGGACAAACCTTCGCAATTTTGGCCATCCCCTCTGAACCCAGATGGACACTTGCAACCGCTTATATCTGAATTCTTCATTGCGTAAAAACACAAGAATGAAATTGTAAGATTAGATAATGGTGGTAAGTACAAAACACACACTATTGCTTCTAGATCTGATAAATTATGATGGAAACAGCACTGAACTGAGCAAGCTGTGGCAGTTAACCCATTTTTAGTTTCTGACCAGCAACCACCATTGTTAATCGTGCACCTTGCAGGTCCATAGGCTGTTAAAATAAACAGCAAATGAAATAATTAAATCACTTGATTTAAAAAATAAATAAAAAAACTCGAAACTGCCGTTGTATTAAAAATAAAGTAACAATTAATAAATAACATAAATAGAACATCAGTTGCCTAATTACTCCCTCCAGTCACAAAATGTTATTGGTGTCAATGAATTGGGGAGAGAATTTTGGTTTGTGGGAACAACAAAATATAACAGGTTTAGTTTACCTTCACAAGAAGTATAACCATCTCCTTTATACTGAACACCATTAACGACAGGGCACTCACAAACTCGTCCCCTAAATGTGTCCTGATCAAATCGATAACTAATGATTAATTTAGGATGCAACCGTACACCTTTGAACAGAACTTTAAACCATATATAAACATTCTTTTGTGAAGCAAGCAAATGTGAAAAATGAGATATTCCTCCTCTTGGTTTTTTTTTTTTTAATCGTCATTTAGGTTTTAGGAAAATGGGGATTTTCATAGAGTTTTTCATACTCTTTTCAGTTCAAAAACGTGAGAAAGATAGCCTAAAATGTACAGACAGGTTCATTTTTTACCTTGCATGCAGTTATGTTCTGTTGTGTGAGCTGCCAACAGCCACCATTCCTTTCGAGGCATTCATCGGTTTGAATATCTGATTAGGAGTGACATCAGAACAATTTGGAAGGGAAAAAAAATAAAAAATTAATCTCAAGCTGATGGCCATGAAAATCTTGGACAATGAATTGAGCATAAATATGTAGATGCATCAACCTGAAGTCAAGCAAATAGGAGGCTCCTCAGTTTCCTTAAATCCTGAACAGATAGCCTTCAGCACAGCAGTTCTGTCCAGTTTCCCTTCAAGCCCAAATGGTTCAAAGAAAAAAATTCAAAATCTTCATATGGATCACATATAAATTAAAACAACAGGCCAGCCACTAGATAGCGAACCTCGATACTGAACCTCATTAATCACTAATGTGGGTAAGATTGTAACATCACCACGAGCCCCATTGCCAATCTGTAATCAGGTTGGTGAGTCTATTAGCAATTATTTATACTGAAGCAGTACAGAATATCAGTGTTTGAAACTCCGGGATTATTTGCTATAATAAAATACAATGGCTGTTTAAAGAAAAGTAAGGTAAAAAACACTATGGTTACCTGCATTTCTTGCTCAACTTTTAGCACTTTATTCTCCACATCAGCTTCAGGATCGCCCATGCATTCATTAATCTTGTCAACTGGAAGATCTGCATCATTCAGCATACAGTTAATCAGGAGTTGCTTAGGTGTGTTTCTTCTTAATAATTTCATTGATAATCGTGACAAACTTGAGATCAGGATTCAAGTCAATTAAGATTTGAAAGTAGATTACGTACTGAGAGACTTCATGACATCCTCAGCACATTGCTTGCTGTATCTCTTGTCCTTCATGGAGCATCTAACATGAAAATCTGTAACGAAATCCCACCAAACCCAGGAGCGATTGGTCTCATTGGAAACTCGATGCACACAAAGTTGTCTGAGATTTTCATAGACAATGTCTTTGCCTTCATACCCAACTCCAAAATCTTGCTCTGGGTCTGGCGCACAATACCTGCCACGGTTAATGCACTGGGACTTGCATTGGCTGCTAAATCTGAAGGCCTCAGGGCAATACCAAGTGATGTAGTGTGGTGTGAACTGAGTGTAACCTCCCTTCTCCAGAATCTGAGCATGTCCCTTAAAACTTTTGACAAAATTCATTTGCTCATTACATCGACTACCACATTCGTCATTGCTGTTGGTCCAAAATTCGTACTCCACTCGGTTATCGGGATGGGGAACCGACTCTCTCCAGTCTAATCTGATGACAACATCTTCGCCATTCCTCACTGCTTCTTTTAGGCTTGTGCCGAGGGATTTCTCTATGAAAGCAGACGGAATTTGGATTTTTTCAATATAACTATCTGCTTCGGTGCTGTCTTCAGGTGAATCCATCGTTATTAGAGACTCCTCAATACTATCCATTACTAAAACTACAGCTGCTCCAGCCTGTTGAGCATTCCATACTTTCAAGGCAAAGTAGCAATCTGAATTGAATGGTCAGAAAGAAACCAAGAAGTTGAAATCAGAACAAACCATCCCTTTGAGAACTCTCCAATTAAAAAATCAGACACAGAAAATTGAGAGTGGGATGCAGCATATTTGATGTGAGTTGTCATTGAGTTTGTGCTTGATTTTGATAATACAACTTAAATGTCCAAGAGGGAGAAGGGGTTTTTTTAATGAAAAAAAGTCAAACAAATGGAGCCATAAGCCTTGAGAAAAAAGAAAAAGAGAACAGAGTAATAACAATAATTTGAAGATTCAAAGTCAAAGTTTCCAGGCCCTAGAAATGATCTATGGATCGTAAGTAGGAATCAGGAGGAAAGTAAAAGGTATCATAGCCGGCATCTGGATAATAAAGTCAACAAGAGGCGTAAAACAAAATAGCCAGATATCGTTGGAAACATCACATTGCTAGGCAGATGCATTCGATTAAATCGAGAAAAAAGATGATGGATCCCATTTTGTTGATATTAGATTCTCGTCTATTTCAGTTTGTTTCTTAGTGGATGACACAAGTGTAAAGGAATTCAAAAATTAAGAAATCAAATTTAAACCCGGATTCCTATTAAGATTATAGTTGGGAAAAGAAAAGGAATACAAAAGAGTTGAAATCGCAGTTTCGCTAAAAAAGGAAAAAGGCGATTCAACGGCATTAATAAGAGAAGGTGAGTAGATTTTGGTTTCCGAGTTTAGCATGATAAATGCATAGAATGAGAAAAAGAAGAAGAAAAAAAAGAGATACCTCCACGATCGAGGAGAAGGATGGTAGGGCGAGAGGTCTTGGATTTAAAAGGCTTATCGCCGTCGAAGGGAAGACAGCCGAAAGTGCCTTTCTGAGGATAGAAAACAGAGCCGACTATGAATCCGCCGTAGTCGGGAATCCCAAAGTTGGCTATGGCAGCGTCATGCTTGGACTTGAGAGAGGTGGGAGAGAGAACGGAGACGCTGCTCTTCTCGACGACGAAACGGGCGTGGACATGGAGATGAAGATGAAGTGGGAGTAGGAGCGCAAGGAGAAAGGTGAGAAGAGGCATGGTGCAGAAGAAGCAAGGGGAATGGAATGGAGATGGGATTGGAAGAAGAAGAAGAAGAAGAAGAAGAAGAAGAAGAAAAAGAAGAAGAAAAAGAAGAAGAAAAAGAAGAAGAAAAAGAAGAAGACGAAGAACGGGACAAGGCAACCAACTGAATAGATTATAGAAGTGGAGAGAGAAGAGGGAGTTGGTTCAGAAGTGAGAGAGAATGGTGGGAAGGATCAACCATACAAGAGAAGAATAAGGAAGACTTGGTTTGTTTGCTTCTATTTGGGGCAACTTCTTCCTCTAACTAAGTAGACTTCAAGGAAACGTTATGATTTCATCACTGCCAATATATATATATATTATATATTAATTGTTATAAAATAGCAATGCCTATATAGTTTTTTGCAATTTAATATTAATTTCATCAAATCAGGTTCATGTTAATATGCTACAATAAATACTCACTACTTTGTTAAAATAAAAAATATTAAATTAAAATAAATATTTCAAAATTTTAAATTTTGAAATAAGTTTAGATCCAAAATATTGAAATCAAAATGGAATTTAAAACCAAATTAATTTTTTAAATATAAAAGTGACAAGTGGTGCTAGTATTAATTTATCCTATTTATTCATTTTAAATTTACTTCTTTAAATAAGTTAAATATGTGTACATATAGCCAACTATTTTCTCCCCTTTTGGAATTATATAAATGATTTATAATCCAAACTAAACTAACTTCAAATTCCACTGCATACCATAAATTTAATGTGTTAAATGTAGCATAAAAGTTGGTGTATTTTTATAATAAATTTTGAGTTTGAATCTGAATTTCCTACCCGTTTAAAACTAAAATTATATTTTCATGTCGTTTTTTTTGCATTAAAGATTGAAGTGTAATAGGTAGAGTTGTTTTTTTGCAACCCAAAGCTTGTTATATAGAATCAAAATGGATGGTTATATATAAATGAATATACTGAAAACAATATATTATTATTATTGATATCATTATAACCATTTAATAGCAAATAGATTCAAACCTTTAAATTGTCAAATCACATACTTCACATGCTTTTATAGAAAAAAAAATCTTTTTTAAAAACAATTTTATTTATTTTGACTAAGTAAACGGAAGACTTGGAATAAGAAATTGTCAAATCAACAAAGTCTACACACCATGACAAGTTCAAATAAAATCAATTTAAAATTAAATATATTTTATTGTTCTGGTAATTTAAATTTTGTTTAGAATACACTAATTTTAGTTTTTGTATTTTCAATTTCAACTTCAATGTTTAAAAAATTTCAATGCAGTGATGCTGAAAAGAAAAGTTGTTAAAGTTTATTAATAAAGAAATAATGTGAATTTTTAAAGATATTTTAAGACATGTTAATTGAGAACATTTAAAATATTTATTTGGCATATAGAATTTTGATGATGCAACGATCGTTGAGTCAAGTAAGCTAATAAATTGAATAAGAAAACACAATTATAGGCATATGTAGTTTTTAAAAGTTGGTACACAGAATGCTTATGTTTTGGATACAAATTTTTATGTTCTGGAAAAAAAAAAAAAAAAAAAAGTGTGGGTTACCAAAGAATAATACTTGCCAAGTAGGTACTTCTACGTTGACCACATTAAAACTTGAATACCATACATTTCTATTAAAAAAAGAGACAAAAATTAGTCTCTCTCCTATTGCATTGCTTACTCCTGATTGCAGAAACATGATCGTCGTGTGTTTCAGAGGTGGGATGATTTGGGCTTCAGGAAGACGAAAACGTAAAGGGAGGGAGAATTTGACCATCTATCTCGCTTCCACCCCAAAGTTGAGACTTTGGGTTGAAGAAAAATAAAGATAAGAAGCTACTCATCCAAAATCACCCTACTCTTTTGGATAATGCCTTTTTATCCTTTCCTATTAAATCATAAATAAATAAATAAATAAATAAATTATCATCACAGTTCTCGTCTTCTTTCACAAAAACCCATCCTCCCAATTTCAACTTCTTGCCATATTTATAGAAGTCTATCTATGCATTGGGTAACCTAACTCGACTCAAATAAGATATATCTTCAACACAGCCTATTCCAAAAATTATAGCGTGACAAATGAACTGAAATAACATAATATAGTACTATTCCAACAGAATATCTATCTATACTGGCCATTGGGGGAAAATGTACCCGATTCATCTCTCAGGGTTTAAATGTGGCGGTTCCTCTTGATCTTGCACTTACCCCGGCGCTTGGCCTTACCAACCTTGAATTTTCTTTTCGATTTCTTCCCAATTCCACCTACAGCCTTCAGTGTCGTGCTTTCACCATATCCATTCATCTCCACATCTGCAACACAAACAAAGAAATTAACACCTTCCACACATCTATTCTCAAATAATTCAAACCATACATAGAAAGGACCAATGCTAATAAATACATCTGCACCACCACAAATGAGAACACAACTTGTACGTGATGTAACGAAGCTGGGTGGTATTTCAATTCCACTGTTAAGTGGGCACTGCTCAACTGCCATAAATTGTGTACCTTCAACAAAAGGTTCAAATTCCCCACCCCATGATGAACTCCAAGAAAAAGGAAAAAGAAAAAGGAAACTTCCTTATATTCCTTTTACCCAAAAATGTTAAAGGTTTATCATTTTTTGAAGGAGCCATCGTTGGAGTAAAGAAGACCTTGTGCAAATCACACTAAGGAGTCAATGAAGAGCTCCGCATTAGGACTGACAGCAACATACCTCTTCTAAAATTTTAAAATCATAAGCTAATCTCTCAGATACAAGCACGTAGGAAAGCACAATAGAACACCAGGAATTATGCTTAGAATGGCACATGACATTTTCATTTAAAAAAAAAAAAAAAAAACAGTAGGATCACAATCAGAAAGAGAGAATGCTAAAAAACAGACATAGCCTCTTAGCAGGAAATACTTTTTTTGTTCATTCGGGGTGCCTTGTGATGCTGGATATGGGATAGGAACAACATATGGTAACTTTCCCTCAGAAGTTGTTTAACGAACAAACTTGGATATTTCTGATCGGGAAAGCTTTAAAACCATTTCAATTCAACTGTCACATAAATTAACGTCGCAGACAAAACATAGATGGTGAAATAATAATTACGGGAAATAAGTAACTCGACACTTGAAAGAATTGAACAGCTATATGGCTAATACAACATTAAAAAGAAGTTGTATTCATCAACACCTATAGCATAAAATATGAGTTGAAAACAGAGAAAACCAAGTCTAGACTGTCACAAACGAACTTTCACAAAAACATTTTGATCTCCATAAAAAAGGAAACATAAGAATTGTATATTGAAGTTGGGCAACTATCCTTCCATATTACCCCTCTATTTTCTCTATTCCATCTAATTGTGGAAAATACGACTGTGACATCCTGACTCCTGTTAACTATATGTATATTTAATCTGTTATTTCAGTTGCTAGCTTTCTGTTTAGTTCAGTGACTCTGTTAACCTCGTGATTTTAAGATTAGTTGTAATCTTCTTAGAGGTCGCCTGTGTGTAAATACTCTTATTCATTCATAATTAAAACTACGATGAATTATTCTTTTTTTCAAAATCAAGTTTTAGAGCTAGAAATGTAGACTAGTCCACGAAGTGGATGGAAGCAAAGCCTCAATATATCAGGCCACAAAAGTGGGGGCTGTGAATTGCTTGGAATTTATTCGAGGGTTGTCTCTCTATGTCTCTATCCCTCTCACCCCTCTTTTAACCGTACAAAGATTGTGCATTTGGATGACAGAATAACTTGGGTTACGATATTCGTCATGGGTTGAGTGAACAAAGCAAAAGAGGGCAAGGATGAAAGAATTTTCATATAATGAGATGAAAAACCACAACAATGAAATCCGTAAACCTAAAGAATGAACATAGAGGAGCAAAAAGAAAGGTCTGCAAGTAATAGAAGGAACAAAGGGGATACCCATGGCAGAGTCGGCGTCAGTAGAAGCAGAGGCTGATGCGACGTCCATGGTAGAAATATTGGAAGTGGAAGGAGATGGACGCACGGGAAGCTTAGGGGCAGCAAGGGCAGCCTGTTGAGCAGCAAGCTTGGCTGCGTCTTTCTTGTCGTAAAAAGGGTCAACCATGTCTCTCCGGATGGCCCGCAGCCTCTTCTCTCTCTTCGATCTCATGGATTTCGCCATCTTTCTTCTCCCCGACGAGTTTCTTCGCTGCGAGTCTGAGGTTGCTTTGATCGCGTGGGCGACCAAGTTTGGGGGTTTGGGCGAATTTAGGGTTTATAAGGACCTCCTCTCTCTTAACGTTTGTTTAATGTTTGTCTCAAGTATTTATTAAAAATCGGATTTTATAATTATTTCATAGAATAAAAAAGAAAGTAGTATTTGTTTTAATAAAATAAAAATGAGTAATTGAATTTTGGAGTAAAAATAGTAATGTAAATAGTTGTTTAAAAAAATTATGAATGTAGATAATGATTTCGGTATCCACTATACCAATGAATTAGTATAGGTTTTTATTTTGTTACGACAGGAATAGGAGGTGGTAGAATGAGATGCCATATTCTTCTTCTTTCTTCTTCCCCAATCTTTTTCTTTCTTCTTCCCCTCTCTTTTGTCACACCTGGCCGCTACCCTGTCTCTCTCACCACAGTTGAGAAAACACAGTCCCACCAACCCATTCGATCGACTATCGTGTCCTTTTGCTTCCATTCGATCGACTGCCGGTGGTGGAGGAATTATCAAGTTGAGAGAATGATGGAAATGGAAGGAGGAAATAGGATCTAGAAGGGGCCTGTTTCAATCTAGAAGGAGAAAAAGGAGGGGGAAAGAGTGGGCAAGAAACGTGATCTCAATTTTGCCAACTCAGAGTCCAATGGTAAATAAACATAAAATTAATATAATCCATAAGTAATGACCATGTATGTCGCAATTGAAACTTCAGCAACCAAATTAGAATTAACAAGTGTATAGTTAACAACAGGCCGAGAAAAGGCACCAAACCAAGTATGAGGAGTTTGTAATTGTAATTCTAAGTAAATAAAAAATATAATAAAAATTCGAAGATGT